AACTGTTGGCACAGGAACAAGAAAGTATAAACTGTTACCTATTAATTTCACTAGACTATCCGAGGCAGCTTTAGTCTGAAGTTCTAGGGAAGTTTTCCTGTAGACTGTCAGGGACAAGAACCTGCATTAGTTTTAGGAACGAGTGTGAATGGCTCGTGAAAGAGGTCAAGTACAACGGTTGTCTGCAATACCAGGGACCTGACTGAGTTCAGCGACTCGGGATCCTTTTGGATCCGATGTATCTCTGCACAGACTGTAAGATTGCTGGCAGCAGCCAAACACTCAGTGAGTGTATTTTAGCAGTGAGTATTTTAGCGGTGGCTGCAGTTTCTGAGTGGTTCCATATTTTCTTACTTGCCTGAGCCAGCAGCCTCCTCCTCTCCGAATGAACCCACACTTCTGTCCACCCTCCTTCCCAGCTCTGTTTCTGCCATCTTCATCTACTGGGCAAATCCCGCGGAAGAAACAGAAGGATCTTGTTTCTGTATTGGCTTCCCTTTCCCACTTACTCATCTTTATTATCAGAACAGGAAATGTTAACTTTATTTTACATATATGAACACCCCTGAGGAAGCTATACGTATAGGTGAAGGACAGGATATGGAGTAAGCTGACAGATGACTTCTGGAATCAACTCTGTGTATGTGCTTGGGGAGCGTGATGCTGACAGATGCAGGAACTGGAAGAGGAACATCAAAAGGCTGCCTAGGTAAACACATGCACCGATTCCTTCAAAAGGCTTTAATTGACACAAGCACTGAGAGAAAGTGGCTAGGGCAGGCACACAGGCAGGTATCTGGGAGAAAACGAGCAGAAGAGCCAAGGCATGCAAATGATGGATTGCACATGCACTGGGCAGGGGGTACCTTCTTTTTAGTTTGAAAGAAAAGTAACATGAATTGCAGCTGGCTTGCTGTAGCTGTAGACATGTCTGAAGCCAAGTTTTGTTGAAGATGAGCATAGGTCAGCCTTAAACGATCTTCTCTTATTAATGCTTGTGAAAGGAATTTTGCTCGGCTCCAGTCCTCAGGTTCATGGAGAACTGCAGTGCCAGTGTTGCCAAAAGGAATCAGTGAAAAAGTCTTGTTCACCCTGGTCAGCTTCAGTCTGCACCGAGGAAGGGAATTCACTCTTCTGGGTAGTACCAGTGTCCACAGCAGTCTAGAAGAAGCCCTGCCCTCAGGGCTCCTGCCCAGAACACTTGGCCTGGGAGACTCTTGCTGACTTAAGTATAAGAAAGGGGCAAGCAGTCATTGATTTCTGAGCTTACACCACATTTAGCTGGCTTTTGTTGTGTGTGGCTGGTACTAGTTACCAGAGGATTTGCACTGTGTGTTGGAAGAAGAGCCAGCCCTAAAAGCTATTATAGACAACAGACACAGAAAAGATCCATTCCAGACTGCATCTAAGCTGCTGAACAACTGGATGTGAAGCTGTCATATCCTTTTAGGTGAGCGACTGATAATGAGTTTCTTTTGATCCGCCTGGAGCACGGAGAATTACCTTCAGTGCCTGCCTCTGACTGGCAGGGTGAGGCCTGAATGCAGAGTTTAAGTTTCCAATTCACTAGGAGTTGAAGAGAAAACCATTTCCATTATTAGAATGCAATTTTAGCAAGAAATTAGAACTTTACTGTTTAGCACACTGATTTCTTTTCTTAGTTTTTGCATTATTTTTCTGTTTATAATGTTTTGTTGTTAAGTCTGAGCAGACAATAACTACCATGTACCGTCTGGAATGGTAAAACATATGCATAGGTCAAGTAGCTCCCCAAAACTCATGCTAATGAAAGACAAAGGCTCCGCTGCAGTTCGCAGCAGGGAATTGCTTTTGATTTGGAACGAACACACTGTTGATATACTGACTGGGAGGAGGGGACAAAGACATCCACAATGAAGCTATCAAAAAAAATCCCATGGTCATTGGAACCACCTCAGAAGTACCTGCCTCAGGAAATACACAAATAAAGGGGTAACTATAATTAGGAGAATTATATAGTTGTTTGGTGGTTTTTTTTTTCCCCAGCAGCAAGATGCAAAGAGCAATGGGCTGCTTACAAGCTTGGAAGGATTTTTTGGAAGATGGGACAAAGCCCCAAGTCCATTCGCAGGGTAGCTAACAGAAATCTTTGCTGTTGACTTCGAGACAGGAATAAGACCATATAAACTGCTTTTTAAAAATTCCAACTGCAAAAGATGTCTGTATTGGCTCTGACCTGGGTTTGGAGAGTTTAACTGAGAGTTCTGGTGTTCTAGGACATACGTTCATACATATGGAAGGCAGAGAGGGTGCATTTTCCTCTTGGGTCCACACAGTGAGTTCTTAAATGACTGCTGAGAGGCAAAACTGATCCACTGGCCAATTCCTGCAGTCTTTCCTACCTGGAAGAAGAGTCTGACTGGGGCCACATACACAGGGCACAGTAAGGTTGACAGAGTAGCCAGTCCTTACTCCTGCGCCTCTCTACCCGTTCCCAAAGAACTCCCCCACTGAAACTGGTGGGTCCAGGCTGAGATGGAAACATTTGATGAGAAGGATGGATCAAAGTCAGAACTTGGGTTCAAACATGCTCAAGTTTCTAGCAGCATTTAGGTCTAAAACACGGATCCATTTTCTGGGCTTCTGAGCCTTAGACACAGAAACTGGAATCCAGATCTTCACCCATGCCTTGCGCACGTTAAGCCTCCCAGCACTGGTCCAGATAATAGCAAAGAGTCACCATCTGGCTGGATTTTACGGTTTGATGAAGTGCTCAGTTTTAAGGCAAGCACGTGTCTGGCACCTGGGGAGTGCGGAGTCCTGATCCCAGTTCTGGCACAGTCTTTCTGTGGCCCTGGGCAAGTCACGTCCTCTTCGGAGGAGGGAATTCATCAAGTGCCCCATGGCCCCATGGAATCGGCAACGGGCTGTAAAACAATCCTCAGCTCCAAGTGGAGGAGAGGCCGGCTGGAGGGGCCTCTCGGCAGCACTGAGCCAGCTCTGTGCCACGGCCCAGAGATGCTTGTGCTGGGACACGGCTGAGGAGGGCTTGCGCTCCCCACACTGCTCCTGCGGGAGGGCTGCAAGCCATGCAGGTCGATTCAGGGCTTGTGCTCCCTTGCGCTGGGGCCATCTTAGCCCTCAAGAGCCTCGAGACAGAGGAAGCACAGACAAGTTTTCAGCCCCTCTGGTTTGGTTTTACAGCTGCGCGACACCAGTTATTCTTACCATCAGGCTTTACAGGTGTGTTCTGAGCAGGGCTTGCAAACCCATTTTCAGATGCACAGCACTATTCATTAGTTTGCCGTTTGTTATCATTAACCGGTGAAATATCCTTCAGTCTTTTTAGGCTTTTAATTATGATGTACTCCCATTTTGCTATAAACCACAGGTATTTTTTCTATTTACCATCAGAAAACTTGAGAAAAGACACACAGTAATTTTTCATTGTCAGGGGTCTGTTTTTCATCGGTTTTCCTCCCTGTTTAAGCAACAAGAAGGGAGCCCAAAGAATTGAAAGCTCTCTTTGCTGCACATTGAAGCTTCTTTGTAAGTGAAACTTTGAACGAGATATGGACATTACAAACAAACCCAATATGCTTAGTGGGAGCCCTTTACTTTCCACATCTTAAAATTATTAAATCTCAGTAAGCCTATATTTCATATTATAGCCTCTTTGAATGCCAAAATTGGCCAGTCTGGTTTCATTTTTCCTTACAGTTTGTTTTTCTAGTTTCTATGCTTGGAAACATTTACCTTAAGGAAAAAAAAAAAGGTAAAAAAGTCATAAGGGTTATGTGAATGATTTGAAGTGAAGCTGTTTTTCTGAACAAGTGACCTACCTTGCCCACAGTTCCAGAACTGGCTAAAAGACATGTGCTTTGCTCTGCCCCATAGCATCCTGCAGCCCATCCACAGCTTGATTCTGTTTCTCACAACAGAACAGTAGAGCTGGACAGGTATCGTGTTTGAAAGGGTAGCTTTTAATTAATGTCTTTGTTTTGCAGTGAAATAATAGACTTGATTACTGAATTCTAGGCCTGTAAATGCTTCTACCTTTTAACAGCATTTAATCCTTTATCTGCAAAGTAAATGGCAACTTAAACATACTATATGGAGTTAGATATCTCTTCCAACAGCAGCATATACCTCTAGCTTATCTCGGAAAGTGGACTGTATTTGGCATTTCACCTCAGACTAATGCTAGTGACCTTCATGCTGAATAGCAGTTCTAGAAAGCCCCCCCGGACACTAAATACAGGAGATAAAGGAGTTACAATGGAATGAAAACTTTATGGCAGTTTTCTAGCCACAGCTCCTTGTACCAAAGCCTTAAGATTCTCTCAAGTGCTGTTCAGAATATTGTATCTCTTTCAGCAATTAGAGTCATGGCAGGGTTGATCTGGGCAAGTCTAGTTACAGCAGTACAGCCACGTTAGCTGACAGAAGACCTCTTTGTGAAGGCATTCACTGGATAAAAAAGGGGGGAGGGGAGGTTGGCTAGGAAGACAACTCAAAGGGCTGCAAAGATGAGGCTCACCAGAGGAAAGTAGTATGGCAGCTCTGGGGTTCTGAGAAAGTATTTTACTTCATCAGTCCTTGCGTCATAATTTTTCCTGGCTGCAGTAGGATTCCTTCCTTCAATTGCCACTTTGACCAACCATATTCCAGGAATCCGTTTCTCCTGCCAGTTTTGTAATGCATATTCCATTGCCAAAAGATTACTTGCAGGTGTCTATCACGATGGAACTTAGGTAGCCTCTTAAAGAGAGGCAAAAAGTAAAAATCAGCGTTTCAACTCAAACCTGCACTCAAATAAGACTCCAGCATATGCACAGGCTTAGGTTAGACAGCAATGATGTGTAAATGGAACTGATGTAGGCGTCACCAGAACAGCTGATAGTGGGTGACCCTCACTGCCAGACATGTCTAGTTTCTGTGTTCTACTGGATCCACCACTGCCAAGGCTGCCCCTTTCTTCCTACATTTCAGCTATCGCAGAGGGTTTCCTTCATCCTCACAAAACCTTTCAACCCCACACTTTTATCAGCTTGAGGTAAACTAGCAGCAAGGTTACCTCTCAGGGTTGCACGTAGACCTGTTCTCTCAATAGGGTTACTCACGAGCACACGCCTTTGCTCCGCCTCCATCTCTGCTATGTCTGCCTAAATTTCCTCAGGTGTAATTGTACACATTGCTTAGTCTTTAATGTGCTGGAGCTCTGACCACCTAACCTAGGAGACCACTTAAGAGAGGACTAGCTAGCAAAAACACCCCATCCTCAGCGTAGTTTCCTTGATTGAGGTCAAGACTTTTCCCCACCAGTAGACCGTAGCCTTTGAGGCTCACTCCCTCTGCTGGTGCACCTGAGCCTCAGTCTGGCAATCTCAGGGAGCAAAGCAAAGGTTGTTAATTTGGTTGGGGCTTTGGGTTAACCTCTTCCTCCAGTTTGAAGGAGCACTTCACTTTCTTATAACTCTTTGTAAATAACCCTGAGCTGTTCAGATCCTGGTAGAGGTGCTTCAAGAGCTTTTCCAATCCAAATGTGCTGCACTGACATCTGTGTTGTCATTAGTCCAACTGCAAAAAAAAAGTAAAATCTATCCCTTCAGACTTGATTTGTAAGCCCAGACACAAAACTACTAGTTTAAGCATTTTGGCAGAAGCTTGAAAAGCAACCCTACTAGACTGATACTCATCTGTGCTTCTGATGCAGCTAAGAGACAAGCAGCAGCATGACTGCAAGAACAGTGTCAGGATTGGCATGCGCAATTCAGCCATACGAGGAGCCAGAGAGCACCTCAGGACTTCCAGATCATTGCATCCTCACGGATCCAGATTGCTGCCTTTCTCTGAAGCACCTGAACACGCACATACTTCATTTCGACTTCAGCAGGACTACTCCTTTGCTTAAAAAGTTAACCGTATGCTTTGCTGAGTAAGGGCTCAAGTGAGTTTAGGGTACTAAGTGACTCTCAGTTCATCCACTGCTTTAGATCTAGGCCTTGGATCTCATGAAAAAATTCAGCTCTTCCTTTTCTAAATCCTTTTGAGTCATTCAAACCTGCTTCACTGTCAGTGGAGGATTTGTTGTTCTTCATAGTTCTTTTTTTGTTTTGTTTTGTTCTTAAAAAAAGTTTTAGCTATGCCCATATTTGAAGAAAGTTCTAAAGTCCTAGGACAGCATACATCAGTACCTAGTGTTTGCAGCCTGTCTTTTCAGGGCTTTGGGCCAGTGTATTATTAAATTTGCTGTACTCAGTAGGAATTGAATGGCTATCTGTAAGCTGTATCATGCACTATGCATATGCAGTCACCTCCCTTGAACTTCACGGAAACTGCATGTTTAGCTGAAAGCAGATTGACTGTATAATCACACCATTGCTCGCCCACAAATGCACCTGCGTATTGAAATCCCACTCAAAACATCTGAGTTCAAGTTCTTAAGAAAGTAGTTCAATTTCTCCAAGTCTGACACTACTTAACAAAATTTTAATGCTTTAACAAAATGCTTTAGGAATAGGAAAATGGTTTTGACATTATAAGAAGGCTTTACCATCCTTACACAACCATCAACACATATTCAGGCAGTATTTTTTAAAACATTTATTAGTCTTTCATATTACACTGGTCTGGAAAACGTTTTTAACCTCTATGAATAAGATGTGCATTTAGCTTGGCTCAAGCCCTAGTCTAGGAAAGCACTTTTCAAAACCAAGCACGGGGTTGTTTGAAGTGATGCAAGTAGTTTGCTGGATCATGGCCTTAATCCACAATTCCCACTTGTCCTGTTCACTCAGACTAATCAAGGCTTTAGGAACTTCTCCTAGTGTATTCTACTAACAGAGTCTCCCCTCTCAACTTAAAAACAGGTAGGATATGTAAGAAAGACTTCTTACACTGTTTTGCACCACCCTTCTACCCACTCAGGTTTTAGAGTTATACCTGTTCACCAAAAAAGTCTTCCAGTTATATATGCTGGATTTCAATTTCTGTCAAGTACTTTCTTCCATCTTTTTCATTCATTGTACTTAGCTAGTTTTAACCTAGGTATGATGTTCATTGACTGCAGTTCTTGGAATAAGAGTTTACAGGCATAAGGTATGCGCAGAGAAGACACATGACATGATGATTTGCAGTAGTGGCACCTAGGGAAACAAACAAAAAGAAAGTCAGAGTTGGTGCATAAATGAAGCTCTGCAGAAAAAAACCAGTTGCCACTATCCACTGGTTTCTTTGTCCACTTGCATTTAAACACTGGGCTCAGTCCTAGAAAGAGCCAAGTGCTTGAGACACATTTTAGCACTTAAGTAAGTCATAACTTTAAGCCCTTGAATAATCTGACTGAAGTCAATAGGACCTTAATGTTAAACCTGCACTTTTCTTGGAGGAGAATCACAGTGCTCAGTAGTTAACAGGACTGACTTCTATTTTTTCACCACTGACATAACTGCCAACACAAATTCAGCATTGCATAATGAGAAAAAGGAGGTGAACAAAGCTAAATATTTCTGAAAACATCGTTAATGGTCCAGTTTCTGTCTTACATATGTCACTCAAAAGAGGCAGGAAGAAAGAAGGTTCACACTTAGGTTTTTTTCCTTATATGCAGTTTCACCCTTTAACGTCTCAAATCAGTTTGTATTTCAGAAAAGAGGCATCTCTTGTCTTACATCTCTCTGTGTGAATACCCAGAGCTTTAGTCAAGATGGGAAACCAGTAAAACTGCTTTAACACATATTCTTTGCATTCTTTACTCAAATAATGATCTTAAAATTCTGGGGGAAAGGGATTTTTTTGTCATATAGATATAACCTTGTCCATATAAGGCATATATAGCCTGGTCACTCAGCCATCTTCCCAGTATTGGGACTCAAATTCAGTGGTGGTAGCAACTGTTTAAATTATTTAACTTCATACTCTGTGCACACACAAAGGAAATTAAAAATCTTTCTTACAAATATAATTTTCCAACCTCCCTATTTCCTCATTCTCCTGTATATTCCATCTTCTGGTTTTGTAAAGTTCAGAAAGCCAGGCCTTTAGGAACACAGAGTGACTCAGCACTTCCTAACAGTATAACAAAGCTCTTTTTCTGCTTCTGTACTTCAAATTTATATTTCTGGCATAAAGTCGTAACAGTCTGAAGATCCAGTAAAGGAAGAATTAGCAAAATTCCTACATGCCTCTGTGGTACGGAATGAGGCTGAGAGTCAACATTTACAGTAAAGCCAATGCTTAGTCACTTGTTTCTGTTACCAGTGAACTTGACCTAGAGCACGTGGAAGTCAATGGGGACAGGTCCAATAGAGTTGGTTAGTGTTAATAAGGTTCTTCGTTCTGAGAGTTGGCGTTAGTCTTCCAGTTACTTCTTCAGAGTCTACTACTTCTCTTTTACAGACATACTTAAAGAGCACGTTGAAGAGCTGGTTATTTTCCAAGAAAACTGTGGTTGCCTTGACCTCCATATGCTCCATACTTGCAGCATTTATTTTTTTTTTAAAAACCAAGAAAGCTTTCAACCAATGGTACAGAAGCCTTAATTACATTTCTACAGTTCATGATGAGGAACGAAGCTTCACTTATTCCCAGCAATTGCTTTGGCTTTGCCTAAATCTGACTATAGGCAGTAAGAAGGTAATAGACTGAACTAGATGTTTCCCTGAAACAGGCTTCTCCTGTAGACTCTGTCACACAGGGGAAAAGTTACAGCTAGCATGCCTTTAAAACAGAATAGACCTCAACTGCAGGTTTATAACTACTCCCCTAGTCCAAATTTATAGGGGTAGGTATATTTTTATGGTGAAAGGAAGTGACCTAAACAGAAGCCATTTTCCAGTGATAACATAGCAAGTAATTGTTCTCAACAGAAGAAGCCTTGCAAGGCCTGGAAGCCTAATGAGGCACAACTTTTCTGCTATGACCAAAAGCCTGGCATTTGATTACAGCTACTAGGGACTGAGGAGCAGCGACTACTCACTACACCACTACACCCAGGTTCAAAGCTACACCATTCTGGGCCTGCTTTGTACTTGGATGGGGATGACCCAGAAAGGTTGAGGTGCAGTAAGCACAAAGCTCTGTCAAACAGAGATCACAGAAACTGAAGTATGTGAAAGACCATTTGGTACTAGAATTGGTAGTAAACTGGACAGGAAAAGGCAACGGTGCCAAGGCTGAATCTGGGTCAGAAACAAAATTTTTCTTCATGTATATTGTAAAATATTCAGACTCTAGGGATTGGAAGAAATTCTCGTCACCAAAAAAGGACCAAATTCTGCTCATTGCATTCAGTGGAGTCCTGCCCCTGAGCACCTGTACGAGAGCAAAGTTGGAAAATTTGCATAAAACTGGTACGTCACAGTAAGTTTCTACTGTATTTTTTATGGGGACAAATTCTGTCACTGCCACAACAGTCCCCTTCCCCTCCGAAAGTACCAGTTCAGGCCCCAGCACTAATCTGCTGTTACTATCTTGCAGAAGAACATTACCCAGTGGCTAGTCCTTGTCTGGGAGGAAGGGCTCATCCTCCTTAAGACAAGTGCCCTTAATGCTAGCCACCAAACAATATGTTTCTAAAAGGTTTCTTGTAGCAATGTCTTATTAATGCCAGAATCACTGAAAAGGCCTGTTTGGAAGTTTCTTTTAATGACTTGGTCTCTACTGTGATGATCATTATAGGGCCACTTGCTTCAGCTACTAGTAGACACAGCATATCATTTAGCAGAAACTACCTCTTATTGATTACTCTCACACATCAGACAGCTTTTCACAGAATCAGATTGCAAGAATGTCTCACTGTCTGAGAGAGTAGTTTCTTTCACAGTTATTTAAAAAGAGTTACTAAACTTTGTTACAAAGTTCAAAATATGAAATATATTACCAGGACTTTAGGAATAAAATGTAGTACTATCTCTAAAGTTGAAATTCCTAATTTTCTTCAAGGCGCCCTCACTTCCTGTGGTCTCTGAAAATCTTCAAGGACTGCTCTGAAAGCCAAGGTCTTATAAAAAAAATAATTGAGCTACATCTGCATGTGAGGTTTTTTTAAGGCAGCGCTTTACACAGTTAGAAGTGGTTGGTTGGTTGACTTATGGCATGCCCTTCCTTTCAGACAACTTCCTTCAACTGTTATTTGCATTGCAGTAATTTTAAGAGACCTGGATCAGAAAAAGGCTTCACTTGTTACATACAGTGCACACACACTCAAGAAAAACTGGACGCTCAAAAATACTTACTGCACAAAAGCGAGCAGGACAATGTCCAACTAAAAATCACCAACCACAACAGGATGCACAGAATAGGCCTTGTCTCTCCTCTGGATTTCACACGTGTTTACCTACCTCTGTCTGAACTTCTGCTCCACAAGGAGCAGAACTGCTGCTCTGTTAGCAGATAAACGTGGTGCTTGGTTTCTGGCCAGAGGCCATACGCTTCAGAAGAAAGGTCTGACCAAGGGCAGAAACGGTAGCTGTCACTTTTACACATGTACAAACTGAGAACAGACCTTACTTTCCTACTTCATTATATCATGGAAAAATCACTCTCGAAGCACTGAAGTGAATGAAGTCCAATTTCCTGCCCCTCCCAATAGATTTGATATTGATATCCAAGATGCGGCAAGTTTCCAACAACGTTCTTTTGAGGTATTTAGAAATGAATCTTTCTCCTCCTCCTTCCGACTCCCCATCTTCCCCCAACATAAATATTAGAGTATCTCGTAACTTGAACTCACACAGTTTATTTTTCCTCCCTTAGTCATGGGATTCCAGGTCACCTGTTTTCAGAAAGCTTGCAAGAATGTTGTAACTCATAAATTCCTATTGGTCTCACAAGTCTCTTTTTCTGCCTGGCTAAACCAACACCAAGCTAAAGCAAAACACTTCCCTCACCTCTAAAGAACATAAAAAGAAGTTTCCCTAACTTCTGATAATAGTGGTATATTTCCAGCATGTTACAGGGCAACTTTAAATCTAGCATCTCAAAATTACTGTAGAGAAAAGATGGTTAGAGCAAAGCCCATAGTGCTACACATGGTGAGCTCCACACAGTTTTGGCATCCAGTTTTGTGCTTCCCCTACATGGAAAACCAGTTTGTTTGCAGGAGATAAAATCAGTACTGGCTTAGGACCCAGAGTAAGACAGCAAGACCATTAGCTAGTATAGAGATAAATTTCCTATGGACAAGGCAGTTGGGCAAAAGCCAGCTGAATTTCCAACCAGACAGCTGCTTCTCTCATGCTCCAAAATGGGACTGATGCATTTGTCTGATGCTTCAAAGAGGAGCTCCTTGTTTTACAAGACTACAAAGCAAAGACATTTGGGAGGGACACAGTCAAAGAAAGCAGTATGCATGTGATTATGAACCCCATAGCTAGAGAACAAGAAGGCAGGAGATGTTGCTTTCTTCTCCCATTCTTCTGTGCCCACTCTCTCTCTTCAGCCTTATGAGGTTGAACATGTGACTGTACCAGGAAGATCTGTGACTAGCCTAGCTAGTAATCTCAATTCTGATGTCAGAAGAGTCAAGTACATCGACACAGCCATTTTCCCCTTTTCAAAAAATAGATGATCTAGAGGATTGGGTGTTTGCTAATCCTCTGCAAGGGTGGGAAGGAAGGCAGCAGGCAGAGTGAAGGTAACCTTTCCCACAAGCACAGCTGGCTGTGGAAGACAATACCTGTGCTCCCACAACAGGAGTGACCCATGGTCCATTGACTACACACTCACTTTGGTCCTAACTTCAATCAGACCACAACGAAGAACCATCCCCTGTCACCAATTTTCCAAATACCAATTTTGAACATTGACACTGGTTTTGATTAAGGTGCATGAGACTGTTAATCAGTGTCTGTGAGCACTTTTAAACTGAGAAACACTATAACCAAGGGCAAGGTTCTGTTACAGAGGCACATTTATTCTGTACCACTTTGCTTTATGCACCTGAGGTCAAAGGTTTTTTTTAAAATATGAAACATGTCACATGCATAAAGTGAGGAGGGGACACCATGATTTACAAAAAGCATTACAGTTAGAAAACTTACCAGCCAGAGTACCCCAGCAAGCCACACTGCCCACAAACATCCACTTCAAAGGCATCACTTGAAATCATCAGTCTCTCCAGTAAAAGCATGCTGGCTCCATAACCTATCAAACAATCCCGTTCCATCTCTCCAAGACGTAAACCACCATCACGGGATCGACCTTCAGTGGGTTGCCTTTGAAATAAATATTTGAAAAAATGTAGTAAGTATTCCAGAACATACATTCTACAACTCTGGGAATGCCTGTCTTCAAAATGTAGGAACAGTACAGGATCAATGGACAACAGTGTTCTACAAACCAGAGCTGCTGATCTCGCAAATGCGTTATTCAAGTTGAAGCAATTAATCTTTGCTCCTGCACTAGCAATATGATGTAGTTCTGTGAGAGGCAACTGCAGCGTCAGGCCACAACTCTTTACCTCTTGGAATGTAGCTGAATAAGTGAAAACAAGAAGACACTGAACAGTATCCAAGACAATCTGGACACAGATTTGGTACTCTTTTTTGATGAGACATTCAGTATAGTTTGTAGGTAACTAAATGAAACAATATTCAGCAGCTAATGAATTAATCATCAAGCTGACGTTTCAGCTGAACGACAGCCAAGACTAAATTCTTAAAATAAAATAATTTTTGATCTGGGAGAGAACACCAAAACAAAGTAGCAAACAAATAGCACGCACATTACTAACTCATTGAAATCCTACTTTTTTTTTTTCCCATTTGTCTAGTTTCTTTTTATTTTTTTATTTATCATTTTTATTTTTTTTCATATCTGACTGTTAATAGACTAATTTTTGTATTGTATAGGTTCCTGGTTTTCTAGTTACTCAGCACAAATCAAACTCTCATTTTCTGTCTGGAAAGACTTCCTGTCCTCATGGTGCTAGAGGAAAGTTTTAACAAAGCAATGTAAGTATACACTAAAGATTCTGAGGTAAAAAGGCAAGGTACAATATATTATTTAACATTATGACTGTTTAAGCCAATTTTTTTTATTGGACACTGTCAAAACTTTTAACCTCTTGTTTGTCATACTGCAATTTCATACAGTATCAGTTCTACTCTCATGTACTAGCACAATGCTGTAGTACTTAGGTTGCAAACATTAGAGTGAACTATGAAGCAAAAACAATCTTAAATTCCTGAAGCACTAATATATTGCATGCATTTTATTAAAAAATTCCATCTTAGTATATTCCCTGAAACATGACAGCAAAGAGAAGGAATTAAAAAAAATGTTATTGGCAATCATAAGAGGCTTCACTGCTCAGTGAAACCCCATGTTTATGTGCTGTTTCTGATACCTGCAGCAGTGTAATCCACCTAGAATATCCAGTGACAGATCTGGCCCATAACTTTTGGAGTATATTTTGTTTATATTATTTCAAACAACCAAATTTGTTAAGCATACCAAATATATTAAAAATAAGTTTTTGCCAACGTATTGCAACTCAGAGAAAAGGATTTATAAAAGCCTTTAACATCTAATAATCTTTTGTAACAAGTGTAAAAAAAAAAAAAAAAACCTAATTACCAGACCAAAGTAACTTCTAAAGATGCAAGTTGTATTTGTTTTTAGGGGGAAGTAGTTTCCCTTACTCTGACCACACTGGAACCTTAAAACTAATCTGCTTGTAATTCAAATGGTCCTTTTCATTCATATAACCTTCTATTTTTCCCACTGTTGGGAGAATGGATAGAAGTTGTTTACATCCTGATTAAACTCCCTAGGGCCCCCTCCCCAGATGATGGCACCGTCACTGTTTAGATGCTGTTTTAAAGGACTAAACCTGTGGTGAATGCAGTTTCTCTTCTGAAGACCCAAGAGGCAGATTTTGAAAGCAATTGGGGCCTCCAAAGACAGAGGCATTTGCTGCAATGCTAACAGTGCCTGAGTTCCTTCTACCAGCTGACTTCTATAATATTAGTTAATGCACAAGTCTACTTCCAAAAGTTTCACCAGGTGCTGTTCTGCAGGATGACAAAATAGCTTTATAAATGTCAGCCCCAATAAAATCTCAGTCCAATTAAGGGAGGATAAAACCTCTTGATGGGGTCTCAACTCCCACCCTTTAAGAGTTGATATGCCATGGGTCTTCCAACAGATACAGGATGAAGATTTCTAAGGCAGCTGAAAACCATTAAAAAAAAACAAACCACAAAAAGCCCTCCAAACCAAAAATCCCTAACTTGAGTCTTAAGCTCTTAAGTGTTTCACTCCCACTGTCAAAATGACCTAATTTAAAAAACAAACCAAACAAAATCCTCCCTCCCTAAAAAGCAGTTTTCTAAAGTACCAAAAATTTCAATATTGAGATTGGGCCTTTGAAAAGAGTCTATCTTATGCTCCCGAAGTCTATCAGATTCTTCTTCTGGCTCACATGAGTTTGAAAATTCCTCACACCAAAGGTTGTTTAAAATGTTAAAACAGTATTTATAAAGCATTTGTGCTTCCCCTTTGTGGCTATACACATGTACACTGCAGCTGTTGCCCTGAGCAACTACTTTCATTCTTTATTCTAAATATAACATTCTGAAAACAAAGCAGACTTTTGAAAATAAGATTGGAAATATCATTAAAAAGAGATATTTTTCATATTAAAAAAAAAGTAAGTTCTTAAAATTCTTAAATATTAAATAAAACATAGTGATTCTTTAAATAAAAAAATAAGGCCAAGTGATCTTCATACTATTTAACCGCTGCATTTAGAAAAAAGCAAAAACCAATTAACTTTAGTGGTTTTAAGGACATTAAGAATTTATTGGCACTAATTCTGCATTTTCTGGAAGAACAGTGGGTTCAGCTTTATGGCCCTGTTCCTTGTTTCATTGGCCAGTGGGGGGAAATAAGTCTATCCCCATGAATAAGAGCAGGCCTTGTAGGTCTCAGCAGATCTCCCTTGTGCCTGTTATGGAAAACCAGTGGCTAACTCGAAATGGAGTCATCAGCTGAAACGCTGATCTCCAAGAAGTGGAGTATTACCTAAAAAAACACTGCCTGAAGGAGGAGGGCGTACTGTGCTCCCAGAGTGCCGAGAGGAGCCCTGACCAGTGTCATCACATTACTCACTTGCAGTATAACAGGAACTGGTATATCTGATAAGTTCAAAAGACATGCAGGTGGCAACTCTGACAATGTCCATCAAAACAACTACGCATGCAGAAAGCTTATATTGATCTCTTGTAAGGAAAACTAAAAGCAGTTTATCTATTAAAAAGATTTAGCAGGACTGGGTATCTAGGCAACACCTTATATAGAGCTGTGTTTTAAACTAATTGTCAACTACTCACGGCAAAATAAATTAAGTATTGTATTTCATTTAACAAATACCGATTCAGAGGGCAACATCCTGGTGGTTTTTGACTGTGTTGACAAAGAGTGCTGCTTTGCAATTCTACAAAGTCTTGTTTCAATCAGAACAATATCAAGCATCAGTGACGTTCAAGAAAACTCTCGAGTCTTCTGCTTTATTCCAGATGGAAATACAGCTTTGCTCTGTCAGTTAAGGTACATTTGATATATAATAAAACACATTTCAAGACGACGACAGCAAAATTCCATGTTGGAAGCTGTTACAGGATTACTTTTAAAAGCAAAAAACAATGTTAGAGGCAATCTACTCTCCAGGAAGTGCAATGGATGATAAAACAATAGTGAGTATGAAAGCTGGCAAAGCAGAATCTCTCAGCAGAGGCGATGGCAATAACAAAAGTTTAATTAGTTGAGAGGAAAGAAGAAAATTCCTAAAAGACTAGTCAAGAGGCAGCATAAATTGAACATCCACTAGCTTTCCTGAAAGTCAAAGAGTGCTAGCTACATAGTATGATGCTATTGACTGGAACAAAGAATCCAAAGAAAGTAAGGGGTGGGGGAAATCACACCACCTTCATCTTTACATGTAAACATTACCTCGACTTGGGATTTAGGTTTCATTTAAATTCAATATCAATAAACAGTTGAGAAGTTGGGGACACAATACAAAAGCAGATCAAGGGATTTGGGTAAGCTAGGAGCTCCAGTAAACCAACTGCATGCACTGTTAGCTAAAACAGCAAGTTTTCATTTTCATGTGAAGCACCAATACCATGACTAACACACCGAAGAACAGAAAACAGGGCAGACAGCCCTTTATTTGGGAATATCACATATGTTCATATAGGCAAGCAGCTGTGGTAGGAAATAATGGTTGTGCTACACTTGCTCTTCTTAATGTGGCTGGTGGAAAAGTTAAGCCAACAATTATAAAAAATTCTCATGATTTCTCTCCCAGTTCAACCACTGGTATTTACTTCCATGGAAAGTGTGAGACAACTTTAGTTTGTCCTAGAGACAGCATGAGGTTGGAAAGCCAAAAGGCATAGGAAATACGCAATGAAAAGCTAAAGAGAAAGATACTTCTGTATCAGGTAAAGCAGATACCTGCCCCTCTATTCTCTAATGGCACATCAACAGGTAGAAGGTGCACTTATTAAGAGGACAGACTTGCTAACTTGTTGTGCAGTCAGGCAATGCAAGAGAATTGGATCAGCACATGGTAAGAGGCATAAAAATAAATTAAGAATCAAAGAATATGAATCATGCTTGTTATAGGGAAGAGTAAGGGCAGGACAGACATGACTTTGTGCTTACATCCCAAAAACAGAACAAAAGGGACTGGTCAAAAAGAAGAGTACCACCATACAGCAGGTGATGTATAAATGGCGTACGTGATAGTCCAGAAGCACTGGCAAAGGACATTTGGAAGAATCTTTGCTAGAATATTCAGGACTAGCTGGCAATTAACTTTCTGGCAAGATTTAGCAAGTAGTCCTACTGTGATGGAGAGAGGCAAACTAAATGATCCACTAGAAGCCTCCTCAAAGATAAGTCTGTGCCACTAAACTGTTTCTTGTGAGGCAGGAATATCAGCAATTTAGAACATGAGTGCAAGCAGCCATAGAGCTTGGCTTTAAGGAGAAAAAGTAAGTAACATCAGTGAAAGCAGGATGCTTCAAATTCCCCAAAGGTCCAGATAATATAAGCCCACCTTCAGGGGCTTATATTACCTATTACCAAGAGTACCTCTGCTTGACCTCAAAATTTGGCACCAGAAGATATCAACATGGTAATCAACCTTTTTGTTGGAGAGAAAACCAAGTTCAGGCTTAGTGCAATGATCATGACTCCAAAGCAACTGAGCATGTATCTTTAACTGGGCAAATAAAAATGGAGATTTACTGTTGGCATCTCTGTAACTTTTGCAACTTTTTTGTGTGAAAGTGTTACTCTCCTGCATTGTATTGAATGATAACTGTGGACCAGCACATACAACCCTAAATTCTGTTTTAGAGTTGAAGTTGAATGGAAGAGTCTGCAAGGCAAAGTGCAGTATACCAGGGCTGCACATTATTCTAATGCTTGTTTGCACTACACTAGGGCCAATGCATTTGCTTTGCCTTGACAGGTGAAGACATGGGCTGCATCAATATTAAGCTGCTAAATACCAAAGGATGCTGAAATATTTAAAGAAGTTTCTTCCTTCTACTCATACCCAATTTTGTAAAAGTACAAATGTTAAAAAAAAAAAAAAATTCCTCCTAAAATACCTACGATATGACAGGAAAGGGCCACAGTGTGCACTGTGAATCAGCAGATGGTATTCTTACCAACTGCTAACAGAAGTCTGAGAAGCGAACTCAGTTTTGGACCACATAGAGCACACCTGGACACTCAGAACAACCTTCTGCCACAGTCTACTGTGAGAGCTTTTAGTCTGTAACAGCGTATTAACAGGTAATAGCATTTTGTGTCAAGTATCAAAAGGTAAACAAACTTTGTTTATACCCGTCAGTCAGCTGGGTACACTTCTGAATGCACACAAGAATTTTGTGCTTAGCCTGTCACAATACCTGGTGAGCACTGCTCTGGGTCCTCGAGCTCTTGCATGCATTTTATCCAACACCATGTGCTTTAGTTTCTGGTAATACACAGGGCCAAAATAGATATATGCTTCCAAAGGTTCCCTGAAGGAATAAAAACAAACAAAGAAAACAAAACCAATATTCACAGTTAGCACATACTTACCTTAAGAGAGACAAGAGGGTCATGTACAGGAGGAATTTGAAACAATTTGGGAATCATGAGTCCTACAAAAACGTGTTTAGGCTTTCAGGGCAATCAATCTGAAAACCCCACAGGGAACATCTCTGAACACAAGAGCAGCACACTTCCAGCACCACATACTGCTATATCCACGCTAGCAAGGAACAAGCTCCTGAACTCTGGCCATACGCTGCGCAGACATGGTGGTATAGCTGCAGATACCTGTTTCAGCTATATCATATTAAGTCCCTCCTCAGTCTGTGCAGGAGTGTTTCAACAATGTCATCAGTAAGCAATAAAGACTGAATGTGTCAGACCCTGAAGAGTGACTTAAGTTATTTCTATTTACATTCCTTTGCTTTACATCATCCACACAAAAAACAAAGGTAAACATATATGTAAACAAATATATGCAGCATAAATGCTCAAAATACCATTTTTATAGGAGTACTTTATGAATTTGCATTTCCAAGGATAACTTAGCACTGGCACACTATGAGCTTGACAGTCTTCCCATCTGCTAATTCTCCCTGCACACCACTTTGAAGCACAACCCAAGAGCCAGATGGGTGAAAGCCCTCTCTGAGCGGCTGTGCATCAGCACAGCTGCCCCTGCAACACTGCTCAGCAGCTGTGTCCATAGGACAAAAATCACTGCCCTGGCTGGCACTGGGGGCTCAGGCGAGCTGGGTAAAAGGGCTCTTGAGAACTGTGTTTAGGCACTGGCATCAACTTAGGAACATCTGTAAGCAGTACAGAGGGTGTTACTCCATTCTACAAGCTGGAGTAATGGCTAAAGAGTCTGTGTTTAAAACACCCCCAACTGTAAGAACAGCATATGCGCTTAAAGATCAGAAAGCAACAGTTGAAAGCACTCAGTTATTTCCCAGCCACCACCTTCAGCACTAAGAATGACCGGATTTAACACAAACTCAGCACTTCCACTGATTTATTTTTTAAAAATGTATGTGCAACGTAAAAACAAGTGGGAGACAACAGTATTGCACCTCCCATTCAGAGTCATTACTAACATGATGCAATGTTATTCCAAAAGCTGCCTATTGAAGAAAACAATAAAACTTAACTAGACATTTGGAATTTGCAAACTTCCACATTGTTATGAAATCTGCCTTCAAATTTCCTAACAAATAGATTAAGCATGTGAAATTTGCCTGGAAGAATATCAGTACCCTAAAGCAAAGTCTCTAAATAGGGTACTACAAAGTTGAAGTTTGAGGACGGGGGATTTTTAGAGCTAGATGATTTTATTCTCCCTAGCAAACAAGATTAGTCAGATTTGTTAAAAGTCACCATGATGTATCAACAGAAAATGTTTCAAACACCAGGATACTTGATAACGATTTACGGAATATGGAGTAGGTAAAGAAAACAAAATCATCTCTCTGAAACAAAAAGAGAAACAACATATGGAATAAGTTGGTAGGAAAAGCAATTAAAATAAAAAGTATTAAAAAAAAACCCCAAAAACTTACAAAAGAGACCTAAACTTGTTCCTTGAGAAGAAGGGAACTGGGAGGATCATAAAAATAGCAGGAAGGTAGGATTAAGATACATTTTGGAAGGGCAGGCATGTGAAGCCATATGGCCTTTTCCTGTTCCTAAACTATCTTATGTTCTTTGAACTCTGTGTCTCAGAAGCCAGTCCGATCAACACAGCAGGAAGTTTGCAGATTAGAGTATTATGCCAGACTGAATCATTGTGTAATTGAAAGAAGAAAAAAAAAAAGAAAAAAAGAGTGCACACGAAATATTCCCAAGGAACAGACACCTGCCTCCAAATCCATATTTTACAGTACTATAAAAGTCAACATGAAAATGCTTATCAGATTCCAAGCATATATAAGATTTGCTGCCAACAGAAACTTGAAATTTCTTACAATCTCTGAGAAAGAAAACCTTGATTTTACCTTTTTTTGTCATGCAGTAGAAGTTGGGAAATTTTCATATGTACTACAAGGGCCATTCACATTACAGCCTTGCAAATACTAGTAATTCTTAAAAAGTGGAACCACAAAATACTTCTAAGAAGGAGGGGGAAAAAAAAAAAAGTTGCACCATTCTTCAAGCCCCTTGCCTCCATCTCACAGAGGAGTTTGCAAATAACAGAAAATTCCTGAGCTCTGGACATGAGAAGATTTTTCGGATGTGTCTCAACAGGATTTCCCCACTCCCCTGAAACATCTAAATCTATACAGCAGATTCTTACCCAGTGATACCAGATGTTACGTAGTCCTTCCCTAGGTAGTTATAACCATGGCGAATAAGATCTTCGCACACATCCTTAACTTTACTGCCTCCAAAAGCTGTTCCATAGTGAAACCTGCCATCGAGGACCCCAGCCTTTCCAGCCAGGAGTTCAATTAACTTTCCTACCTGTGCAAAGAGAAGCAGAGTTAACAGCCTGCTCACTAGTATGGGCGCGTTGCTGGATTGGTCACAGCATAAGTTAGCCAGGCGAAGGGTCCGAAATGGCAGCTTGGGTTATTGCATGCAATGGGAGGAGTGAAAGAAGCCCAAGAAGAGGGAGTACTCCTGTGTGAAAGGGGAAAATCAGACTCATGGCAAGATCTGGGAACACCTTTAAGGTCCAGTCAGGCAGCTCCATTTTTTCCAGTTGTCTGGAAAATGAGCAGGATCCAGTGTGGCCTTCTGCTCTAAGAAACAGCCTCAGAGATTGACACGCTACAGTGCAGCAGGGGGAACAGAAGGGAAGACGCTAACAAAGAAAAAAACATCAGAGGCTGTACGAAGTAATCAGTGGAGGTCCCATATAAAGGCCAGGCTGTGAGGTATTTAGTGTGACCCTGCAGCACAGGTGCAAGACTTGCATCACTTCCAGGGAGGCGTGTGTAATGTAGGAAGTTATATAGGTCTAGAACTATTACTGAAACTCCACTCCAACCTTCACCTCACAGTCTGCCGCAGCCAGCTTAGTGGGCATAGGCAATAGGGAAGGAAGAGGGAGAGTGAGAAATTTTCAAAGAGAGAGGGTGCAAGTGAGGTATTCAGCTGCTTTCCTATTAGCTTGATACAGAACAAAATGAAAATGATGCACCAACAGCCCGCATCCCTACTCCTTTTACAGGAGGATGTTTCAAAACATGCAAAACAGAGGGCTGAATACTTAAAGGAGAGCAAGCGTGTGGCATGATGACTGGAGAATATTCTCAGTGAAACCATGTTTCAAACTTTTTTTGTTTCTTCTGGCTAATTTACTTCACTTTCCCTATTGGGGGACACTGTGTCTTTAATCGTAACACAACCACTAACCGTCATACGCGATGGGAAGCCATGAGGGTTCATTATGATATCTGGACAGATTCCTGTATCGCAAAATGGCATGTCTTCCTGAGGAACAATCAGTCCACACACCCCTGCAGAAGAGAAAACATTTCAATTCAGAAACAGCAAACCACCAGCAGGGCTGACGCTCATCACCAGATTTTCTTTAGTGTTTTCCTCCTCCTCTCTTTCTCATGGATCACTTTTTACCCAGATTCATTACCATGACCAGTGCTCACAACCTGCAGCCTAGAAGAGAGCCCTTGTGACAGGACTGGCAAAATTAGCATACCCTTACATAATGCTCCCAGTGATTTGTGAGTTAGCAAATTAGGGAAGAAAGCTTTAGATACAGTTTTCAGAGGCAACCAAAAACTTCTGACCAGTCAGACCAGAACATCTCAAGGGAGACCTAGTTTTTAAAGCTGATGCTATAATTTCCTGCAAAAAAATGAAGAAATCAGGCCTCTTACAGTATCTCTTTGGACATGCAAAATTATTATCGATTCAAAATTTGTTTATCATATGTATCTTTGCTAAATACTGTGAATGAAAACAAATCAAGTCAGGACTTCGACAGGGACTGAGAGGAGGTAAGTAGGGCAAAATAAAAAAAAAGAACCGAAACCAAAGATTTTTTCAGGTAGCATTCATTTGCTGAGCAAAGAATGCTTTCAGTGAATTACAAAGTATAATCCACTCCCCAGACTCCTTGTATTTTGTCAGTCCATGAACACAAATGGTACCTTTAAAAGTTCTGGAAGCTTTTTTCAGTCTCCATCAGTACTGGATGTAAAACAAACTAAACCGCCAAACTCTAAAACTATTTAGGAAAGATTAAACTGAAACATGATAACTCATTTAAAATAGTCTATCATACATCCCAAAATTTTCCTTCCAACCCTTACAACTGTTTCTACAGTGAATTCTGCAGATCAAAATACTGCAGCTATAAATGACCACGAGATCTAACATTAAAATTCAGGTGCTAAAATGCAGCTGCTTAAGCCCATACTCCTTTGAACCAAAGCTACTGTTTCAGTTGGACAATTTCTTCCAGAAGCCGTTAGAGCTGAAAAAGTCTGCAAGCTATTTGCAATCAGCCTGCTGCAACTGCCAGAGCACGCTTTGGGAACAGTCCTGGAGCGGAGGGGGCTCCTGGAAGACTGAGGGTGCTGGTTACATCCCTAAAAAGGCATCCCCCGACCAGCCAGTTCACAGGGGGATATTGGCGTCTGCTCAGGAGGGAGCTCCTCTTCCACTGTCCAAGCAAGACAGGGATAGGTGTATGGGACAGTAGCTAATAGAATGAGGATGGTAAGTATGGGGGAAGGGAGCAGAAAAAAAAAAAAAAAAAAAAGGATTGGAGTGATTGGAGTGTCTGGGGCCAGGGGCGGGGGGGGGTTGTCATATATAGTTTTTAAACCTATTGAAACTAATTTTCATTGTTTTATTATGATAAATCAATAATATCCTCCTACCCCTCCCCACCAAGCAGCAATAATTTGCTGAAAATTAAAAAAACCCAACCCGCTATCTCTTGTGCACACAGCTTTTTTTTATCCTAAAATTGCATACATAAATACTTCATTATATATGTATTATGACACACACATTTTGCCTTATTCGCATTTACTTCTAAGAAAGTATTAGGTTGCATCTGGACTTCATGGCACCTGTAAGCCAAAAATTAAATCTTAGCTAACTTAAAATTACTTTAGGCTCTGAAAACCTTTTATATGCCAAGCTGGTTCCCATAGCAGACAGCCACTGTGTTGTTTGTTTTGTGTGAAAGTGAATGATAAAAGATCCATGAAATCGACACAGAAAGGCAGAACAGCAGAAAGAACTGAGGGCTCTCCATCATAGCGGCTTCTACCCTCCGCTGACTTGTATAACAATGGGACCTACACACCCAACTGCAGATCTAACACAGCTGTGCATTTCATTAGATGAAGAGCACTAGTGACACAAGTAAATAATTAACTTATTCTGGTCCGCTGACTGTGGTTATGAGACCAGTCATAGCTGACAGATTTTAATACAAGTTAACACAAAGACAGCATAATGAGCTTAGAAGTTAAAAACAAAATATTTAGACAGAATCCAGCAATGTGAAGCTAACTAGGCCATTTATAAAGTTTCTATTTTGCAGAAGGGAAAAAGAAAAAAAAAAGAAAAAAGAAAGCTATAAAACCTCAATTCTAAGCTTCTGTATTTTAAGAAGTCACTGAGTTTATAACAGATCTATAGCATGCCCATGTGTATTTAGAGAACAGGACAGAGAAGCTTATTCCTCCCCTATGTTTTATGGAAGTTCACTCCTTCTCATAAAAAACTGTTTAAAAAGCTCAAAGAAATCTTTCCTATATACAATGCTACTTCTAAAAGCAAGTAACTGCAATTCATTTAAAAATGTAAATTATTTCATTTTGCAGTCACTTGCCTTCAGAAGCTCTTCAGAGACTAATCCTTGCAGGTCTGCACTGTAAGCTCCTGAATTTGCTACTCTTTTTCAGCCTTGAATGCTGAGCCAGGGTTTGCAGCAGGGCAGTAAAAGGCAAGCCTAGCAGTTCTGCATTCCCGAGCAGCTGCGAAAAAGTGATCAAGTGAATTAATCCATATAAGTGCAGTTATCACTTGCAACTGGTTAATAAACAGTAAAGGAAAAGAAGAGGCTGGATTTAAGACAGCCTCAAGTTCCAAACGTTGCCCTGTCCAAGTATAAACTGCATTTCACAACTGAGCTGCTCAACTACTCCCCATCCAATATTCATAAATAGGACAGAGTCAAACTAGTAGGTAACTTTGCTCTGTGGCTTTTACTACAGGTTATTAAGATTTCCTAATCGTTGCTGAGTTAGACATAACATGAAAATTGTTTGCCAACGTTCACACAGGACATACAAAATAATTTGGTTTCATTCATTTCTCTTCCCCTCACAATTTTTATATGCTGCATCTGAAATTTAGCAGTACAATTTCAGACTAAATGCTACACTGTGATGGGGCTGAATCTGCTCTCATCTATACACTCTGAAGTTCTCATCTAGGACCAGAATCAAACATTAACCACCAGAAAAGGCTGCAATTATTTTTCCAGACAAAAAAAAAAAAAAAATTATTATTTTTTTTTAATGTATGGACTAACAAGCGGTTTGTATGTTTGAGCAAAAAAGGATCCGGTAGCATGCTACACCTAATTTCTTTTCAATTGAAAACCAAATTGAATTCTAGAAAAAAACTTTGTATATCAATTTCATATCAGCTTAGATGAAAATTAGTCAAAATGCTAGCAAATTCTTCTAAGATATCTCTCTCTCAAAAAAAAAAGTAGATTACTAAGCACAGCAGTTTGCTGCAAGGATAACAGTTTAAATCTGAATAAACTTAAATCAGACATCTACAGTGGCTTAACATGCAAGTATAAAACAGCCATAGGCAGTGTTTTTCAATGCTATTGTATGCCAGCCAATAAATGACAGCCCTCTGACTATGCATGATAGCCCCCATCCTCACACACACTATCTGCATCAATCCCAACAGCATCTCAACACCCATGTACCTCCACAAGGCCCTGACAGAGCATAAAGATCCCCTCACCCCCATACTTTTGTCCTTTAAGAGCTGCTTTTTCTAATCAGGAGAAATTCAGGTTTCCAGATTTGATACCTTTTATGTGGTTGCTTTTACAGTTTGCTGACAAACATGAACATACACAGACTTGGTAAAACAGCAGTTCAGCAGAGAGGGGGAAGGGGGGCGGCAGGGAGGGGGCAGGGACGAAACACAACAGTATGGGAAAGTTTTTCACCGGCTACGATAAGATGCCTTCTATACACACACACGCCAAATGAAAAAAAATCATCAAATAAGTCAAAACAACCTAATATAGAAAACTAATTACTACCAGCAGGAGGGACATTAGAGAGCAAAGGAGACTAAGTGAATAGAAGCAGCAGTAATACCAGTTTCTATCAGCAAGATAAAAAGAAGCGCATTACTAAATGTGCTTGTTTACTTATTCTAATGATATGGTGGTAAAAGAGCTAGAACTAACTTGAAAGGCGTCTGGTTTAGATTTACCAGATTTGCCAGAATTTGCAAATACTCCTGAGACATAAGACTACGTCACATAATTAAGAGGAGTTGTAGCTGTAACGCAGCGCTGTATATTGTGGACAAGTGACAAAGAGACGTGCAAAAATTAGTAAGGTTAAACAAAAATGTACATCTGCTTCAAAACTCTCTAATTACATACTGTGTTGGCTAACTAAGCATAAAACAAGTCCAGAAGAAAAAAAGTGCTGCATCACATAAGCTTTGTTCAATATTGAATCATTCACTGATCTATCATATCACTTGCTACATCCCATTTGACATAAGAGGTAAAGAACAGAATTAAAATTAACAGATAAATAATGCATAAGTAAACTTGATTAGTTTTCTTATTAAAAACATCACTCTAAATGAGAGGAGGTGCTAGAAGACAATACAGTTTGTACACTGCTTTCCCATGAGCTGCTGAATGGTCTGATGTGATAAATTTGCATAGTCTGAAGCACACAAAGAGCTGATTAATTGAAACCCTTACAATGCTTCTGGAAGCAGCTATTGTAAAACAATAACCATAGGAACTTTACAAAATACACATGGCTGAATGAGTCAAGAGCTTAATAAAATGTGTGTTCAGGATACACTATTTGGAAACAGAATTAGAGATTTTTATTCTGTGCCATAAAATGCTAAATCACCCTAATTTCAGAGGTTCAGTTGAGGATTTACTGAAAAGGTCAGAAGGTTACCTGTTTGCTGCTTGAGATAAAAAATGCTGTAATTTTCTTCTTAAGTCAGCAAGCTAAGCAGTGGTTTTGTTAAAAATAAATAGAAAAAAAATGGTATGAGAAGTTTTAATGGCATTCTGACATCTCATTCTCTTATATTCAACTTCTGAAGATAAAAATAAAGTAAGAAATTCCTACCTTTCCTGATGCCTAATAACTACTATCAGCCCACATTCCTGCAGTCGATAACAGCAAATTCTTTTTAATGCCACTTCAACCATTTAATTCCTATAAACCCACTGATGTTT